AATGAAAATATGGGGGTCTCCAACGAAAATATGGTGGTCTCCAACGAAAACCGGGGTCACCAACAAAGATATGGAGATCTCACGAAAATCAGGGGGCTCCAACGAAAAAATGAGGATCTCCAACAAAAATCTGGGCTCTCCAATGAATAACTTGGGGTCTCTAATGAAAATATGGTGGTCTCTAACGAAAATATGGGGTCTGCAATGAAAATATGGGGGTCTCCAACGAGAATCGGGGTCTCCAACGAAAATATGGTGGTCTATAACGAGAATCGGGGGTCACCAACGAAGATATTTGGATTTCCAACGAAAATCTTGAGTCTCCAATGAAAATATGGGGATATGGGGGTCTCCAACGAGAATCGGGGGCCTTTAACGAAAATATGAGGATCTCCAACGAAAATCTGAGATCTGCAATGAAAAACTTGGGGTCTCCAATGAAAATATGGGGGTCTCCAACGAAAATATGGGGTCTCCAATTAAAATCTGTGGGTCTCAAATGAAAATATTGGGTCTCCAATGAAAATATGGTGGTCTATAACAAAAATCTGGGGTCTCCAATAGTATTCCAATGATGATAATTTCTTCCCAAACTCGCAATTCAAACAGTTTTTAACAAATAATTGCACAGAGATCTCTGGCCTCCATGATAAGTCAAAGGTTTAAAGGGGATCATTTTAAATCCAACATTGCCGCGCCATCGTTGCATGAAGAGTATCTTGAACTCCGTAAACAATCTCTTTAAGAAAGAAATTAAATAATAGCGAAGAACAATAAATTTTTGCAAAAGCATACTTCTTTATTTTCGTTCATTTGTATCTGTATCTAATTGGTATGATTAGCCTGACTGATTAATTTTATTATGTTGGGTTGCCAAATTGGTTCATTATATAGATGGTTCTTTCTTTCTTTCTATATACTTCATGTGTTTAATTGTATTATTATATGGATGGTTCTTTCTTTCTTTCTATATACTTCATGTGTTTAATTGTATTATTATATAGATGGTTCTTAATATATCTTTCTATATACTTCATGTATTTAATTGTATTATTATATAGATGGTTCTTTATATATCTTTCTATATACTTCATGTGTTTAATTGTATTATTATATGGATGGTTCTTTATATATCTTTCTATATACTTCATGTGTTTAATTGTATTATTATATAGATGGTTCTTTATATATCTCTATATATACCTTATCTGTTTAATTGTATTATTATATAGATATAAATAGTTCATATATTTCTATCTACAATATACTTGTGTTTAATTCAGGGAATAAGAATAAAGGGAAGAGAAATGGAGCTGGTCTGGCATGAGAAAGCCTGTTGCACTGCAGCTTTGCAAACGAGTTCGCTATTACACACGCACACTCTAGCTTACTGATGCTTTTAAAGTGAATTTGCTCATTTTCAGTTTTTCTCTTATTCCCACTTTATTTTGAATTTTTTGCAATTGTTTTTGCATATTTGAATTGGCTGGGTCTAAGGCTTTTAAAAAATGCATATATAATCATATTTCGTTCATTTTTTGTTTTCAAAATTTTTCCAAACATACAAATACGATGCGCCCTGCTTTATATGTAAGATAAAGTTTATGGTTTCCTTGTTTTGGTATTGAGACACTAGCTGAGTAAACTTGAGAAGATTTATTATAAGATAAATCTAGTTTCTTACAAACTTTTTACAAGGATAGGTATATTATATAACAAAGGTGATCGAGGAAGGGAGCGCTAGGCTGCCATGAGTCCCACTTTTCACTTTCAAACCGTAGAAATTGTCCTGAATGATCTCCGAGCCTCGTGAAACAAGATCTAAAGGTAGTGTTTGACAACGCACAGAGAGGTCGTTTTGTAAATTCTGCGGCTTAAAGTTAGAAACGGCGGTCAAGCACCCCCTCCCTCGATTAAGATGTACGTTTATGTTTGTGTTTGTGAGTGTTGGATGTATGTGTGTATGTATGTAGATAAGTGTGTGTAAGTGATCCATCTAAGAATGACAATGACATTCTGGCAATCCTTGCATCATTCAATCCCTAGCTTCAGAACCAGGAGATGCTTTTTCTTTTTCTTTTTTCTTTTTTCTTTTTTCTTTATTCTTAAACCTTTAACAGTTTAACCCTTTGTTGCTCTTTTTTTCATTTCAATCAATCTTTCTTTATTTATTATTTCCATTTTCCTTAATTTGGTTTAATCTTATCTTTCTTTAATGTGTATTCTTTTTTCTTATTTCTTTTTTTCTTACTTACAAAGTTACACTCCTTTTTCATTCGTGTGTTTCAAAAATCATTTTATCCATCTTTTCGATCTTCTCAATTCTTTTTGACAACCCCCTCCCCCCAACACATAAATTTGGCTAGAAGGAAACGATCCATTTGGTGTACCGTCCAGTTTTGCCTTGTATAGTCTGTATATTTATACATAGAGCTGCTTAATAGTCGGCCCTGTACTTGAAATAAACTAGAGTTTACCTCACCTTTCATCTACTCCTTCACATAGAAATCTTCCATCTTCCCTCCCCTTGGTACAAGGACCCATCACCTCCCCCCCCCCCATCCTCCCCATCCTATTATTCTATATATATTTCTATCCTAGAAAAGTGTTGTTCCCTGTAATCATCATAAATATTTTGACCCTGGTCCCAGGCGGGAAATAAAAACTTAATAGAATTTCCTCCCGGGAACTGATAATTCAATCCCGGCTAGTATTAAAGGTACTGTCCACGTAATTTTAAGTGGATTTCCATTTTAAGAAGACATACTATAGATAACTCACTCACTCTTGATGGGACAAAGCTTTTGCGGAAAACGTTATGATGGTAGCGTTATGCGGGTATTGTTTTGCGAGTAGCGGTATGCGGGTAGCGTAATGCGGGTAGCGTTTTGCGAGTAGCGTTATGCGGGTAGCGTTATGCGGGTAGCGTTGTGCGGGTAGCGTTTTGAATCGAATATGCCAATCTTTAAATGGATTATGGAGGGTCACATGAAATCACGTTTACAGTCCCTTTAAACTGGACAACTGGAGAAAACTAGGGAAATACTGGAAAATTCAATTGACAGGGGATCGACTACTTTACAGTTTTGACACTTTTTCAATGATTTCGCGGAATTATACGACCAGAGTGGGACTGACAGCTTCAAGTTTCGGGTATTTAAAATGGAAAGAGAATTTTTGCAGAAATATTTTATTGATTTATAGATCGGGTCCAAGTTTTCTTTCATAGTTAGCAGTCATATTAACTAAAGGGCCTGGCGTTTCCCGAGGAATTAAAAAAAATAGAATTTTGAGGAGAATCTCGGTAATATTTCAGATATAAAAGTTGTGAATCGTTTCAACATTTCTTACAAGATATATTACATTTTTTTTAATAAAAATGATGAATTTTTTTTAAAATTTCCTTTCTGAAATTTCTTGTTTTCAATCGAAATTTTCTATCTATATGCTTGAAGGGTTATGCAGTAGAGACAATGAAGTTTACACTTTTTAAGATAGAAAAACGACAATATCTCTGTCAATGTATATCCGATTAAGGTACCGTTGTTAATCTGGTATGCCACTCTACAGAAAAAGGGCCAAGTAAAGTTACGTCTGCAGTTCCTTTAAACAATAAAATTGAAGAAAATCAATATTCTAAACATCCCGGGCAATAAAATAAATAAATAGAAAACTGTACAGGGTGCCCCCGATAACTGTACAGGGTGCCCCAGACAAAAATTGTCGTTTTTTTGAGGGCTTTTGATTCTGAAAGTCGGAAGTTTGGACTGTACATTTTTTTAGTTTAAAGAGGGTCAATGTTTGTGAGAATTATGGGTTTTTCTCGAAATGATTACTTTTAATTGCATAAAAAGGTTTCAAAAACCATATTCATCCTTTTTTCTGAAACCCCCAGTAAATAGAAAGACAAAGCTGGGTTGTGGAACTATATAATTGAATTTACATAGAAAATGGTTTTATTAAAACTTTTAACTTAAATAATGGAATAATAGGACCATTTCAAATATAGGGAGGCGAGATTAGGCAGATAGACAGATAGACAGATAAAAAGATAGACAGATAGACATATAGACAGATAGAAATATAGACATATAGACAGATAGACAGATAGACAGATCGACAGATCGACAGATAAACAGATAAACAGATAGACAGATCGACAGATAAACAGATAAACAGATATACAGATAAACACATAGACAGATAGACGGATAGAAATATAGACATACTACATATAGAAATATATACAGATAGACAAATAGACAGATAGACAGATAGACAGATAGACATTTAGACAAATAGATATATAGACATATAGACATATAGATATATATACAGATAGACAGATATACATATATACATATAGACATATAGACATATAGACATATAGATATAGACATATAGACATATAGAAAGATAGACTGATAGAAATATAGACATATATAGACATATAGACATTTAGATATATATACAGATAGACAGATAGACAGATAGACATAAAGACCTATATACAGACAGACAGATAGACATATAGACATATATAGACATATAGACATTTAGACATATAGACAGATAGACAGATAGACAGATAGACAGATAGACAGATAGACAGATAGACAGATAGACAAATATACAGTAAATTTAACAGTTTAATCGTAGACAAAGACATTTTTACATAATTTTTAAATGCGTACGGGTGAAGTTTATAAATGCGTAAAGGCGGAATGCAACACCGTATAGGTCACTCTATCTATCTATCATTTCAAGATTTGTTCTGTCTGACTATACATCTATCTATCTATCTATCTATCTATCTATCTATCTATCTATCTATCTATCTATCTATCTATCTATCTATCTATCTATCTATCTATCTATCTATCTATCCATCTATCTATCTATCTATCTATCTATCTATCTATCTATCTATCTATCTATCTATCTATCTATCTATCTATAATGGTTTGGTGTGAATCTTTGTAGAATCTGGTTTAGTGTTCAGTTGAGATTTATTCTTCCTCCAGGTGACATTCATTCATTCATTCATTCATCTATTTATTCATCCTTTCATCCTTTCATTCACTCATTCTTGTTCTTCTTGTTCTTTTTTTACTTCTTTTACTTCTTTTTCTTGAACTTCTAGTTTTTCTTGTTATTTTTGTTGTTCTTGCTGTTATTCTTGTTCTTGTTATTGTTCTTGTTCTTCTTGTTCTTCTTGATCTTCTTGTTCTTCTTGTTCTTGTTGTTGTTGTTGTTGTTGTTGTTCTTCTCCTTCTTCTTCTTTTTCTTGTTCCTCTAGTTCTTGTTCTTTTTGTTCTTCTTGTTCTTGTTCTTCTTATTCTTCTTGTTCTTATTCTTCTTGTTTTTCTTGTTCTTCTTGTTCTTGTTCTTGTTCATCTTCTTCTTGTTCCTCTTGTTCTTCTTCTTGTTCTTGTTCTTCTTCTTGTTCTTGTTCCTCTTGTTCTTCTTCTTCTTATTCTTTTCTTCTTTTCTTCTTCAATATCTGAAAAATTTACAAATATCGTAAACTATCGAATATTTGATTAGTATTTTATTTCCCTCTTTCCCTATTCTTCACTTGCAGCTGAATGCAGGGACTGAATATTGGATAATCTTTTAAAGCTTCCAAAGAGTTTTTTTAACGGTTTCTTTACTGATGTTGACAAGAAATGTGTTAAAGGGACTGTAAGCGTATTTTCAATTGACCCTCCAAGCAAAGATAGCAAAGTCCAATTCACAGCAGTACCTTTAAAAGCTTTGTCGATCAAGTATGAATTAGATATCTATGTTTATAATTTTAAAAAATGATTATTTTAATTGTGGTTTATCTTTACCTGTAGGAAAACATATAGGAATTATAAGAATTAAAAAATGTTTAAATTAAAAAATGTTTAAATTAGAAAATATCTGCCACATTATTGATCAAATGAAGGTTTTAAGGGTACCGTTATGAATCAGACATTTTCATCTTCGAGCATGGAGAGTCACTAGAAATTTTGTAATTTCCCATTAAAGATCTGGAGAAATGAGCAGTACAGTTCGATACAGTACAGTACAGTACAGTACAGTACATTACAGTACAGTACAGTACAGTACAGTACAGTACAGTACAGTACAGTACAGTACAGTACAGTACAGTACAGTACAGTACAGTACATTACAGTACAGTACAGTACAGTACAGTACAGTACAGTACAGTACAGTCCCTTTAAATATCTGGAGAAATGAGCCCAAGATATCTAGAAGCCTTTTTAGCTTAATGGCCTTCACATCATTTATGAATTTGGGGTTAAATTATTTTTTGTTTATTACATGCTTAAGACAACTAGCGAGAGTTTTCTGAATTCAGTCTTTAGCAATCTTCGAAACTAAGCATTTATTAAACAATTTATATTAAAATGTTTATTAAGAGCTCCCTTATCCATTATTTTCTGTTTTATATTGAATATTTTTGCATTTGATCATTCATTAAAATTCACATCGGTACCCCATAAAATGGTGAAGATATCCCTGTTACTATTTTCCTGAAATTAGTTAATTTTCTTTTAAGGTTCCTACTTATGCTCCAGGTGGATTTAACGGTTCTGTCAGTATTTCAGAAAGCGTGACTTTCGATTACAATTTCACCCCTTATACATAATATTTTTAGCATTTTTTCAAAAATACGTCTATTCAATTTTGATGGAATTTATCACACCTAATATTTCCCGTTGTAGGGTGATTAAGTGACTTTACCGCCTTAAAACAGGGCGAAAAAGTAACTTTTTCACCCTGCTATTAAAATTTCAAATTTCATACCTAATTTGTCTCATTGTAGGGTGATAAAGTTACTTAATCACCCTACAACAGGGTGATGAGGTAATTTTATCGACCTGCTTTTAAATAATTTGAGTAAAACTGAATAAAATGTTTTATATTTTATTGAAATGGGTATCATGCGTGCAAAAAAGTTTTTGCCAGGATTATTATTTTGATCGAAAACAAACTAGAAGAATTAAAAATCACAGCACTTAATAATACCCATTACAATGACATAAATAGATATTTTGTTGGCATATATGTTTTGAATGAAAAAGTATAAAATAAACAAATCCGTAAGTTTAAAGATTATTGAATTATCGACAAAAACACGTTTAATTTCAAGTAAAAGAGACCGAATGCTTCTCCGGGTTGGCTCCACAGGCAATAAAGAAAATTGACAGAATTTATCTCTCTTCAAGACAGAAAAATTCAAATGGGCATTTACAATCTAATTGTCGACATGCAGTCCTTTAAGCACTATTTTGAGATGATAAGATGAAATTGCGAATTTTGACGGAAAGAAAAGCGGCCATTTTTATACAATATATACATACAAAGAGAATAGAATATATATTAGAGTGGAATTTACTAGAAAAAAGTGTAAAACGGCCATTTTGTTGTACTGTTTCCATACTGCAGGTGTACTTTACATATTTGTGCTATCTAACCTTTTGGGCCCTGGAACATCATTTTATAGAAAATCTAAAATTAATATTAAAAGAAAACCAAATCATGAAATAGGCTGCTTGTATAATTGACCAATGATTATTTCACATAGACTCTATGCCTTTCACTTTACAAACGATGATTTCCGTTATAACTATAAATCAAATGATGTTTTTATTCACCTAATTCATTTTATAAAGTTTATTTAACAGCTTTAAAAAATGGAAATTGAAATGGATAGTCTAGGGAACATACTGTAGTAGTATACTCTACTGCATATAATTCAGGCTGAAAGTGACTGACAAAATTCATACCGAGGGATTGACTAAGTTCCACTCCAATATATATTCTATTCTCTTTGTATACATATAATCCTCTGTTTAGTGATAATCATAGCTGTTTGTTAATTTTATCATTTATTTTATTCTTGACCTATTCAGAACAATATAAAAATTGAAAAATTAACCAATTAAAAGTATAAAACAATAAAGGATAAAATATAAATAAAAACCAGAATAAAACCTTAAGATAAAGGAATTTGATTCCTCTTGAAGTAATTTAACCTTTAAAAGTTAATTAATTTAAAGTGTTTAACCTTATTGGTAAAAACCTCAACTTGAATTTGAGATAGTTGTTTTTTCAACGCAAACTAAGCGAGAACAATTTTCGATTTCAATTTTGTTTTGTATCAAGCATTTAACAGCATGGATTGATAGAAAGAGACAAGCTGTCAATTGAAAAAGCTTCTTATTGTTTACTTGTAAACTAGAGAAAAGCTTGTAAACAATCAAAACTTTTTAAAAAATCGTCTTCATTGTATTGATATAATCGCTAGAATTATCATATAAAAGAACCTCAACATCTATGACATCTATGACATCCATAAAAATACAACTAAGAGAAGAAACATTACTACCAAAAGTGATCTTTTGTATTTTTTAGTCTGCGACGCATTATAGCATTATCTAATGCGTCGTAGAGTCACGTTTACGCAATCCAATTCAAGCAATTCCAGTAATTCATTTTTATTTTTTTTTCTCTGCGATTATTTTTTTCTTGTTTCACGAACAAGGAAAACGTTTCTATAAAGCCAGGATTACCATAGACTGAAAACGTTTTAAAGGGTCTGTTCGCGTAATTTAAAGAGACCCGTCGTGAAATTCAAATGAAATAAAACTCAAATTGAAATTAAAATAAAATTTAAGCCACTGTTTTATGAGTCTCACTCTACCATTTTTTAACATAGAGCGTTAACCTTTTTTGTTAAAAATAACAATTTTTTTCTCAAAGATCTATTTGATTTTTCAACCATCCACCAGAGCGAAGCAAAGGATATTTCTTCACCAAATTGATCGGGGAAATCTAAAAAAATAATCTTTAAATTATCATATATGTATTTTTAAAAGAAAACTTGCCAGAACAGGATGTTAGGTTACTTTGTTTCCCCATGGGACAGTATATGAAGTAACATAATATACAGGGTGTCCCAAAAAACATGGGAATTCAGTGACGAATTCAATATCGTCTTTGTTATGAATTAGCATTGTAGTACCCAATTTCAAAAGCCATAATATTATTAATATATGTCTGCTGGAGTTTATTTTATGAAAACGCTAAATGGTTGTAAAGATGTGCCTATTGTAAACCCACCCAGCTAGTTCATTCAACCCAAGCTAGATTGTATCATGAGTTGAGTAACTGGACAAACAAATAGTATTGATTGTATTTAACCCGTTACTACCGGAGCTGGGATCAACGGCCAGAGGAAATTTCCAGGGTAGCAAGGTTCAAATCCTGGGAATCCTTATCAGGGGAACACGGATAACGGTGCTTTCGTCGGAAGAGAAAGCAATCTGAACGTCCATTTTGTCCCCGAGAAAAGGGTTAGTCTTGATGAAGGAGGAGAAGAGAGCGGTCGATCACAGCTCCAGTAGCTCCGAGAGGAGAATTAGCTCCATCTATGATTCCAGGATTGACTTCGGTTGATCCTCAGTTTGTATTTTAATAATAATGTAAAATAAATGTCTGTGCAAAGTTAGTGCTTTAATCGATTCCATCTGGCTTGTTATATTGAGTTTCTCTTTGTAAAGTTGCCTTTATTCAGTTCTTTATACATGAGTTTCTATTAAGTTTATACTATAATGTCTCTGCAAGATGAACAGTGAAGACGGACAAGTTTACCCTGTTTGTAAACTGTAATTTTCTTGTTTTACTAAGTACAACAAAGCAGTCAAAACATAAACAAACAACTTGTAAACATAGCAGACAAAAATTTTACGGATAACAGCTTTCTTGCAGTAGGTATCGCTATACTAAATCAAAGAATTATTTTAAAAGATGAATTCACTGAATTCCCATGTTTATTGAGACACCCTGTACCATTTCTAACATAGTTAGTGTTTGAAAATCATCTGTGGGGCCCTGAATGTATAAATATCTGTTCGTCCCTTCTCCTATCATGATTCTAAATCATCTGTGGGGCCCTGACTGTATAAATATCTGTTCGTCCCTTCTCCTATCATGATTCTAAATCATCTGTGGGGCCCTGACTGTATAAATATCTGTTCGTCCCTTCTCCTATCATGATTCTAAATCATCTGTGGGGCCCTGACTGTATAAATATCTGTTCGTCCCTTCTCCTATCATGATTCTAAATTTGATCTTTGATCCTGAATTCTTCCTTTAGATGTCGAACCATTCCAGATTTTAAATATTATATTTAAAACTCAGATCAGAACACACCTTAAACACCATATTCATACCACATAGATATTTCATTTTGTTAACTAGAATTCAGACCGCTTTGCATCTCCTTAAAAAAATGTCCCTCAAGATGAATTACATTTATCAAGGAGTTTTTAAAAATGATGCTAATTGGATCCAGCTTTTTAGACTTATTTTTTTCTCACACTTTACAATCACTTTCGACCGGAACACTAAAAAAATCTTCAGATTGTGGTTTTTAAGGTTATTAAAGCTTCAACTTTGTGTGAGGAGTACCATAAAAAGATATTTCTAAATCACATTTTTTAATCTGGCAAAGTTTCAGTCCCTAAATTTTCATGTGTTAATAATAATTAAATATTTACATTAAAAAACTTCATCAATTTATTTTTTAAAAAATTATTTATTTTAGGCAAAGTGGTTTTATCAAAAACTAGTTGCAGTGGACAACATCAACAGCAACAACAACAACAACAATAACAACAACAACAACAACAAGTAGAGTAAAGTGTAAAATAAAACAAAAACGAAAAATAAAGATGTTTGAAAGTGTCAGTATCTTCGCTGTTTTCGGTCTGTTAACAACAATCTACGCTGCTCCTCAATCTAGGTATGGAAGCGAGGAAAGGCACACCACACCATTTTTTCATCCACACCACAAATGACATTACAACCACACCTACCATTATTTCTTCCTACCACACCTTATCTTCGTCCAGGTGTTTCTACTGCGTAAACAATGCCGGACAAAAAAAGGGTGTGATAATAAGAAATAATGGTAAGCGCAATGCCAAGAATTGAGTTTGCAACGTTATTTGTGGTCGAACGAAAAAGGTGGGGGTTGCCTTCCCTTCCTCGGTATTGAAAACCCACTAATCTACTGAAATACTTTACGAAATTCTTACCGACCCGGCCCAAATTCCGTACTGTATTTCATGATTGGCTAGGTTTCCATGTTATCAATGAAAGTACAACACTTGAAAACGGTCTAACTTTTTCAATGACTTTAGAGGGGGGGGGGGGGGGAAGGACCTAAAAAGGTGAACCTTAAGATGGGATTGGTAAATCGAGTTTTCCATAATTAAAAACCAAGTCTGACGATTTAGCATTAATTTAAAAAATCATCTTAGAAGACAATATAAGGTAAATGTATTTTAAATCACGTTACCAGTCACTTTTAAAGCTTTTTAGACTTGTAGGTCGCCTGGTGCCCCTTTATCTATTAACAATATTAGCTTTTAGGTCGCCTGGCGCCCCTTTATCTATTAACAATGTTAGCTATTATGTTGCCTCGTGCCCCTTTATCTATTAACATTAACAATGTTAGCTTTTAAATCGGAAAGTTGCCTAATTTTAGCTGTTCACAAAGTTTTGCGGATTTTTGGTTTAAATTGGTGAATTTTAAAAGATACAGATTCTAAAAAGTTGTAAAACATACTTTTGATTCTGTTCATGTCATCGATCAAAATATTCGCAATTTCAAAATTAAGCTGTTGTTTATAAAGCGATTAAAACTTTTATTCGAAAAATATGTTTTGTATGGAGAAAGGAGAAATTTTGAAGGGGGGGGGGCCGGGACACTCCTCCTTCTCCCTTTCCTCTAATCCAATCCTCGATGGTTCTATATCTATCTAGGGCTGCTTTACTGGACCGTATTCTGGATACTGTAGATGAAGAAACTAATTTCATCAATGTTGATGAGAGAAATAAACAGGTGGAGGAGACATCTTCTCACAAGGGAGGAAGGGCAAACAACAAGAATTTTTCGTCCGAGCCATATTCTCTTGTCTGAACCACCATCGAAACTTTATGAGTGCCGAATCCTCAAAATTAGAACCATTTTTCAATAATTTGGTTACATTTGATTCGGATGTAGAATATTTGTGGCTAGCCTTCCCTCCCTCGCATACACACACACAAAAAACATAATCATACAGCACAAAATGATATTTTGAAGAAAAAAAACAGATGTAACAACTTACCTTTAAGGTGTAAAGTTCAAACTAACAAAAAGTTCAAATCTTATAAAAGATGTTAAATGATTTAATTTTTTTTGTGAAACCTAGGTTGACTCTTGGAAGTCAGCTGGCTGTGAGAGGTCTTATCCAGGATTATTCAATTCTATTTTTATAAAAGATAGTGTTTGCTAAAAATAAACTATTGGTTCGTTTAGAGTATCTGGCCAACCTTCAGAGAGCTTTAACCAAGTTGTAAATTTAGTTGTAAATGGCGAAACCTTTGTGTCGGATGTTTGGCTAATTCTGTTTTACAACGTATTTCTTTATAGAAACATTGGCTAGAGATGAAAAAAGTGCAAAAAGATTTCAATAATCTCTTTTGATCTAATATTTTGTATTTTTGCAGGATTATGAGGTTGAAGATGAAATCCCCCTGGGGAGTCTTTTATTGCTGGGGAATATTTCCCCTGAAAACCAACCAATCTTTCCAGATAGGATAGCTCTAGAAACAGGACATAGGTATACATTTTTCAACATTTTTCAACATTTTTCAACATTTTTCAACATTTTTCAATATTTTTCAACATTTTTCAACCCTTTTCAACACTTTTCAACCTTTCAATTTTCAAGGTATAATTCTCTGTTTTTTTACGATACTATCGATTGGATTATGTAGCTCATTAACTAAAGATCAATTGCACTAAACTCAGTTGTTCAATTACTGGTTTCAGACCATTTGAAAATCAGTGGATATGAACTGAAACATGAAATTCATAATTTTCAAATTAAGGAATTGAAAAAATATTAATTAATATGGCGCATGGCCCCTACGCTGTGTTGTGAATCGTTTTAGATTGCTGAAAAAATAATAATAAATAATAAAATATAATAAGACTTTAAAACTGTCTTTTGCTTTTCTAAAAAACGTTGCAATATCTTTTGGGTCGTTTTTTTTTGCATATTTCTTCTGTCACATTTAAAATTTGATATGTGAAAATATCTGCAAAATTTGATATGTGAAAACATCAGCAAAATTTTATTTGTGAAAATATTTGCAAAATTTGATATGTGAAAATATCTGCAAAATTTGATATATGTGAAAATGTCTGCAAATTTTGAAAAGTGAAAATATGTGCATAAAACGAATAAACTATATTGCCGTGGCGATCTACAGACGAAGCGCTTAACCGAGATCTTGTCGTCACCTGACAGAACTATATAATATTTAGATTATAACATATAATTTGGTGTCAAAAATATTTACAAATATATTTTGGATAAATATTTTTACATTTAAAGATTAATTCAATTGAATTAATAATTCCTGCTGATTTGAACTACAGTCCTTTTATATGATCATTAGTCTAAATGAACGTTAGTTAAATCGATCATTAGACACCTATTTTACATCTGAAAAGTTATAATATGGTAAGTACAGAAAAACAGCAATTAGTTAGTTACCAGAGCGGAAATGGAACGTAAATATTTTGTATCAGAAATCACTCTAAAAAACGCGAACAGTCTCTTTAAACGAAAGAATTCTGACTCCTTCCCTGTATTGTAGAGTGTGAGAAAAGGAGATCATTTATTGACGTTTCTCCAATAAACACAAATCTGTATTCTGCCGTCTCATCTCATTTTACTGTGCACTTTAAAACAAATATAAAAACAAATAAAATTCTAGTTTTTAAAGTTGAATAAAATAGTTTTCAACTTTTGGGACGGGAACATAAAAATAAAAAAAATGTGGATCCATTTTTTATCGTAAATAATTTTCCAATATTTGTCGGTTCGGATTAACTAACTTTGGATATTAATAATAATAAAAAATAAATATATATTAAAAGAACATGCGTATTCTACCGTATCATCTCGCTTTACTGCTTTAGTAAAAACATATTTAAAAAATGAAAAGTATTTTTTTGAAATATACACATAAATTTGAAGTTTTGCAGCTGGCACAAAACAAAATAAATGTAGAACATTATTGTTGATGGTGCACTGAAAAGTTTCTGCAGCGGATTTTTAGCGATTTTGTAAAATCCAAGGTTAAAATGCTAGGAAAGTTATCTCAGAGTTTTAAGCATCTTTTCTACTGCAGTTGATAATGTAAACACAAGACGGATGTCGAAGCATGACATGGGATCCATCTTTCAAATAAAAAATCAATGAAATATTCTGGTCATAGGAAACTATTATGTGAATTATCAAAATTATCTAAACTAAATGCTTTTATCCTCCTCGGATACTATACGAACACTGATGCATCTATTCTTGTTTACAAATTCCGCTCAGAGAGAACTGGTTTTAATTTCAATTGCAACTGCAATTAACTTTCCTTGCATTATAACCTTGTAAAAATCAGTCTCCAGGCAGCCAGAAAACCCGGATCGACAGTAAAAAGTATTTTTCAGTCTAAATGAACCATCTTTAAATATTAAAAGAAAAAAATTAACAATTATTTCTCAAAATAAACGGAAATCTATATTCTGCAATATCATCTCATTTTACTGCTGTTGTAAAATAGAAAGTATAAAATAAAACTAACTATAAAATCTTTATTGTAAAAAAGGTTAATGAAATGATTTTGGTGTTCTTTAGTGGAAACATAAACATAATAATATTTACAATTATTTTTGAAAACTCGACACAGAAAAATTTCTTTAGATGAACATGAACATGAACATGAACATGAACATGAACACGAACATGAACATGCACATGAACATGAACATGAACATGAACATGAACATGAACATGAACATGAACATGAACATGAACAACATAAACATAAACATAAACATAAACATAAACATAAACATAAACATAAACATAAACATAAACATAAACATAAACTTAAACATAAACTTAAACATAAACATGAACACGAACATGAACATGAATATAATGATGAAAAAGCTATGGTTCAATTAATTAAGTTACAGTGTGATTAAAACCGTTACAAAACAGAAAAGTTAAAATCCATTTAAAATTACGTGCGTGGTCCCTTCTAGGAAGATATTTTATTATATTTCAGCTATAAATCAAAGTATAACTATTTTATAAAAAGAAAAAGATTTTTCATTCTATGGCTTCAGCTTCCAGAAAATAAAAATACTATGATTAATGTTTTCCCTCGCAATTAATCATTTTAGTTTTACCATGTAATAGAGCTTGGACATGTTGTAAACAAAAACACTTGTTTGACAGGACTGTCAGCGTAATAGAGCTTGGACATCTTGTAAACAAAACATTTGTTTGACAGGACTGTCAGCGTAATAGAGCTTGGACATCTTGTAAACAAAACATTTGTTTGACAGGACTGTCAGCGTAATAGAGCTTGGACATGTTGTAAACAAAACACTTGTTTGACAGGACTTTCAGCGTACTAGAGCTTGGACATCTTGTAAACAAAAACATTTGTTTGACAGGACTGTCAGCGTAATTCTAAGTGACGACCCGTGCCAAGATGGCATTGCCCGATTCACAATATTACCCGTCAAAGCTTTGTCAGATGAAGCATGAATTAGATATTAATATCCATAATTTTGTATACACTAAACGATAATATCTTTCACATCATTGATCAGATAAAGGTTTCAAGGATCACTTCTGTATGCCGAGTCCATTAGCGCCTGATCCAATGAGGGTTTAGTCATGTGTTTGTTGTCTATTCTGAACCATTAAAAATAGTATGGCGGTAACATCTATCTTTCTATCTATCTCATTATCCAATTAAAGTTATGAATCCTTCAATCAGCGCTATCAGTAATTGGAAATGATTTGGATTTTGGGTTTAAGTTACTTACTTACTCACCTACAATTATGGATTCATGATTTGATTTAGCCAAGCCTTCAAAAGTTATCTACCTTTAAAAGTTATCTACCTTCAAAAGTTATCTACCTTCAAAAGTTATCTACCTTTAAAAGTTATCTACCTTCAAAAGTTATCTACCTTCAAAAGTTATCTACCTGCAGGGGAACATGTATACGTTTTTGTAGTTTGAAGGGTCAAATTGAGTTTAGGAAAAACATTTAAAGATATTTTTACAAGTTATCAATTTTTTAGGATTCCCATTGAATTGTTTCCCACAGCAACACAAGATCGTCTACAAGAGTCAAGAGCTGAAGAGAAATACATCAATACTTCAACCTTCAGACGCTTCCAACCAACAACAACAAAAACAACAACAACATCAACAGCTTCTACAGTATCAACAACAACAGAAGTTTCTATAGAAGAAGACAGAGCAAGGTGAGACAAGAATTTCTAATAAAAAATTCCAAGTTATTTTTTGTACCGCAGTCGGTTGGAGTTAATAAGAGTAGAACTATTATGGAGACGTGTGTAGGGTTTGTTTACATTTTACAGTGACACAAAAGGACAGCATTGATTGTAAACAATAACAAAGATCACGATCCTTTACTGCTTTAGTGAATGTAAATTCAAATAGAAGCAGCCTAAAGTCAGACCGTCTGACCCTGCGGGGCTGTCCTAAACAAGACCGCGAAGGTTGACCCAGCCTGGATATTCAAATGTACAATGGTTGTGTTATTGTTTGCAATACAACTGCAGTGAAACCAGAAACTGTGGAATAGGAAGTTGACAAAATAGAAATACTTAAGTATATTTGATATTGTTATAAAGCAAACATTTTTATTTATAAAATTACTTATTAAGTTAAACCTAAGCTAAACCTGAGTCCCATGCTCATTGGACTATTTAAAGACATGGACTCAGTCTAGTCTTTCTATTCTATTTCAGAGTTTTCTGGTTATAACTGTAGTTCTAGAGCCACAGAAAAATGTAAACAAACCCTATCCCCTTCTTTTAACTAGGGTATGAAAATGTTGTGAAAAAAATCTACCTTTAATGTTATATTTTAGTTTTTGTTATCTTAAACCTCGAAAAAAATAATAATCATTAATTTTGTTTAGAACATTTTCAGTCGGAGCATTTCTATCCGACGAGGGAGACAATACGTACGAGCGCAGTTTGCACGTGTTTGCCCCGTCATCTTTCTTCTAAATCGTCTTTATTTTGTGTGTATCTATCAATCTACTGTTACCTGCTTAATAAACTTTTAAAATTATAATTTCCAAAATTTTTATTTTTGGAACGATATCTAGGAAGTTACAGATTGAATCTATAGAAATCTGAGTAAAGTTGGCAACATTTCTAAAATAACTTAATGAATTCAAGAATACTAGATTTATCATTTTTCCTAATTCTTGGATTTCAGTTTTTGTAAAATTTTCTGAAATGTTACAGTGTTGTTCAGAAGCATTAAAATTCCATTTTAAACTTTTGTAAAATTGATCTCCATATTATGCAAACTACAAGATTAATTTAATATTCTTTTTCGATATCCCGTGATGGCCATAATTTGCAGGGATAGCTTTAATTGAGGGATATAGCATCATCATTATTCTTTAAAAGTATTTAATATAAAAATTAGATTATTCAATCTAAAAGAATTAATTGTTTTAAATAGCTAAGGTCTACGACATTGGGTACCAAAGATATTGGAATTAGAAAATCAGGGTTTGTGGCAAAGATTTAATTCCTTTCTCTAAATATTTTCCGAAAACCATTCTTGGACTGGAAATGTTAAAATATATGGTAAAAAACTTCCAAGATTAAGTTTAGCTTGTTTTTAAAAAGTTTTAATTATTCTAATTTCAGAAAATTAGTATAAGCAATATTCATGCTATTATATATTAGGGCGCAACTAGGATATTTCTAAAAGCAGGGGTTGCGAGGGGCAGAAAAGCATCCTTATTTAGAAAATTATATAAATGTTAAGTTGCATTACATTTTTATGCAATCAAACACGTTGCCCCGTTTTTTAACGGACTATTTGCGTCATTTAAAGTGATTCTACATGCAATGCTCGATTAACAAAGGTACCATTGAAACCTCAATTCAATCAGAATTTTAAAAGATTTGGCGGTTTTCTGGTTCAAAAAGTGTTTGATTCTGACTTTTCTCCATCTCTTCCTATTCGCATTTCGAAGAGAAACCGCAAATTAAAAATAAACTGCAGTTTAAAGAGAAAAAAAAACATGGATATCTAATTCATACTCAGACAAAGCTTTGAAATGTACCGTTGTAAATCGGGCATTGCCATCTTTGCATCATGATCATGATGCAAATACATATGAGGGATACTTGAAATTACGCTTACAGTCCCTTTGTAAGGACTGTACTACAGACTACACAGACTGCTCATACACTCTACCTGGAAAGGCTGAGCAGGCCTATAGTGTCACGGCACGCCATGCTACGGTTTTTTGACTGACATCTCACGGCCAGTTGTTGCATTTAGGGGTTAATTTTACAACTTTTAAAGAAATACTCCAATTTTAAACATAAAACATAACGATTATGAATATTTTCTATTTTTAAAGATTTTGCATTTCCTATTCAAAGGATCCATAAATATCCCTGAATACAGATGTCTCCTGATTGGTCGTTTACGGTAATTGTACACAATAGAACATGCTGTGGAAAATATCGCATGTTATAGGTGTTATTCGATCTCTGTAACTCCCTTATCTCTGGACTGTACACAATTACATTACAAGGATTCACAGTTGTACCCTAGTCCACCTCAAAGTGAATAAATACTAAAGTGGAACAGACTAAGGAAACGACGACAGGTTGGGCCATATTTGGTTTGGAAATAATTTCATGAAAAGATTTCATTTGGAAAGTAAAGACTAGAAAAAATAGACTAAAGACCCATGTAAATGTCGTCTTCAGATAGAACTTCGAAATTTTCACGATTTAAAATCAAAAATTTTTGTACGTTTCTATGTAGTTTATATGTAAATACTATTTAGTCGCTTAATCAATTCATTGATTTTCCCTGGCACTTCTAACATAAAATGTCGTCATCCAACTGTGAGTTTGGTCCACTTTAGTATTTATTCACTTTGAGTCCACCTTCACTGTCTGAGCCTGAGTAAAACTAATGGAGATATCCTTGTTTTCTAATTGAAAATAGATTGTTTTACATTTGCGGTTATCAAAAAAGTAACTTGTGGATTTGCATAAGAGGTTAATAAAGAAAGTGACACAATTAATCTCTTTTCAGTATCTTTTCCACTCTGTTAACCAGATAAAGGTTTTAAGGGTTCATTTGCGAATCGGGCTTTTTATTGCAGTGACAGCCATTGTAATTTAATGGTATAGGGTAGGAGAGCTAGTGGTAAGAGAGAGTTAATATTTTTCTATTTTTCCGAATACTTTCTACTTGGTAAGAATATTAAGTATATAATAGGATAAAATATAAAGCTGTGTACAACAATATCAATCTTCTCTATGGGGCAGGTTTGGCTGTGAGGCCGATGATACAGGTAGGGGTGGGCATGATGGTCATGTTTATAACTAAAACTTTTGATTCCAGGTTTTGCCGGCTTCCTTTCTCGTTGACTTTTTAAAATGACTGAACTAACACAGTTCACTCTTGAATTTGCAGCTGAATAAAAGCAGGTGTCGATAAGTTTAATCACAAATATCTCAGTACTCAACAAACGCACACGTTTCAAGGGTACCGTTGTAAATCAGGCATTGCCCTATTTGCTAGAGGGTCACTTGAAATTTAGCTTACAGTCCCTGTAAATATACAATTCTAGCCGGATACCTTTCCAATTAAAGGCCAACCTTAGCGTAGTCTGACTCGGTGCTATTGGAGAACTCGATGTGAGAGCTAAATCTTCAAAAGTTTATCTACGGATTATACAATTTGGCGTCAAACATGGGGTATTTTCCGGGAGAACATTTTTTATATTTTGGAGAAATTAAATAATCAGTGTAAAGTAGATATAATTTTCATAAAATCCTTTTATTTAAATGGTAAAACGGAATTTTATGAAATCATATTTGCATTACTGGAGAACTTTTTTTTTACTTTTGAGAAATTTTTTTCTCTCTAAAAATAGAACTGTAGATAGAATTTTTGTAAAATATTTTTTAACAGTAATAGTAACATGCAAATTTATGTATAACCATATAATCATTCATTTATGTTGTCAGTACATAATAAAATCTGGGGGACCTTAAACACAATAGAGAGCAGTACAAATGTACATATTAAACTATTTTGCTCCTTTAATGTCTAGGGTATGTTAAAAAATAGAAATTATGATAATGATAATGATAAGCTATAATGTTTTTCAAATCGTTTAATTCTCAAAAATATAAAAAAAAATTCTCTCGGAAAATACGCCATGTTGCTATACGTAGCTGTTTCTATACGTTGGATTTCTATAAGGTTTGACGCCATACAATTTATTTTCCGGCACTAAGCTCTTTACCAACCTTCCTTCGTTCACGTTAACGGTAATCAAGGTATCGTTTTTAAATGATAACTTGACAGTTCTTTTCTTTTACTTAACAGAATTTTCTCTTAGTTTTTAAAAACGTCCAGACGTTAATTCAAGTGACCCTCCGTTAAGGTTGGGCTTGCCTGATTACTAATATTTTCTTTTTTAGCAGAATTTTTCGTTTACTAACAGAATTTTCCGTTTATTAACAGAATTTTCCTTTTAATAACAGAATTTTCCGTTTACTAACAGAATTTTCCGTTTATTAACAGAATTTTCCGCTTACTAACAGAATTTTCCGTTTATTAACAGATTTTTCCGTTTATTAACAGAATTTTCCGTTTATTAACAGAATTTTCCGTTTACTAACAGAATTTTCCGTGTATTAACAGAATTTTCCGTTTATTAACAGAATTTTCCAGTTATTAACAGAATTTTCCAGTTATTAACAGAATTTTCCGTTGATTAACAGAATTTCTATTAATTTTCCAAAAGATATTTTATCATCAAAGTCCACCCCTAGATCTAGGGATAAAGAGCTGGGAAAAACATGTATTTAATATCCTTGCTTTTCAGCTAAACAGCTTTTAGACTTTTCTCAAAGATTTTGTGACGAACAGAGTTTTTATAATATTTAGAATCTATTTCTTGCAAAGTTTTTTTACAACTGTTATATATATTTTACACATTTTAAGTTTAACCTGCTCAAACTTGCAATCTTACTTACTTTTGGTTTTGATCCTTTTCTGCCAACAAAGTTTATTTATCCAATGCAAGATTTGGTTAAAATTTGTTTCAGCTTTGCATTAAAAGCATTATCATGTATCTCTGTATCCCTGTTTCCCTGTATCCCTGTTTCCTTGTTTCTTTGTATCCATGTATCCCTGAATCTCTGCTTCCGTGTATCCCTGTATTCCTGTATCACTGTATCCTTGTATCCCTGTATCCCTATAAACCTGTATTCCTGTATCCCTGTTTTCCTGTATCCCTGTATCCCTATATCCCTATATCTATATCCCTATATCCCTGTATCCCTGTATCCCTGTATACCTGTATTCCTGTATCCCTGTATTCCTGTATCCCTGTATCCCTATATCCCTATATCCCTGTATCCCTGCATCCCTGTATCCCTGTATCCCTGTATCCCTGTATCCCTGTATCCCTGTATCCCTGTATCCCTGTATCCCTGTATCCCTATATCTCTGTATCCCTGTATCTCTGTATCCCTGTATCCCTGTATCCCTGTATCCCCATATCCCTGTATCCCTATCTCCCTGTATTCCTGTATCCCTGTATCCCTAAATCCCTAAATCCCTGTATCCCTGTATCCCTGTATCCCTGTATCCCTGTATCCGTATATCCCTGTATCCCTGTATCCCTGTATCCCTGTTCCCTGTATCCCTGTATCCCTATATCCCTGTATCCCTGTATCCCTGTATCCCTATATCCCTATATTCCTGTATCAATGTATCACTGTATCCCTATATCCCTGTATCCCTGTATGCATAAGGACCAGGACGGATCCAAGGGCCGGTGTAAGGTTGGAGAAGGAGGAGGATTGAAGAATACTGGAGGTTTGGATCAGTTCTAGAAAACCTTCTCTGCCAGACACATATCCAACCGTATCCGTCCTCGATTCAAACTACCGTTATTTACCTTTTCTGTGAAATGGAAATAGAAAAACCGAGAAAAAGGTTGTATTCATTTCAGAATTGTACTATTTTCCAGCGCTTAAACTTAGTTATTGTATTTTGGGCTGAAATTA